CTTAGTTACGTCCCTGGCGACACCTCGTAAAGATTACAGATTGGTGTTGCAAGGAACTGAGCGAACTCACCGTGGATCGTAGGACCCATACACAAGAAGAGAAATAGGAACATACACGGTGAATACCAGGAAAGCTGGAAGACCTTTGAAGGAATGTGGAGAACGAACACGTTTAGAGAACAAGAGCCATAAAGGAATAAAGAGCTGTTAGGTTGATTAATGGTGCCGTATATGCTATCGTTATGAAATAGAAATGCATTCAGGAACCAATCGTGCTTTAGTTAATTTAGACTGAGGCTTTAAAATTCTGAGAAAAGAGTTCAGAGCAACTTTTATCTAAAACAGATAGCAATGAATGGTTTGTTAGAGTGATCTCAAGAATGTTAAAAGTCGAAATTACTGCAAACAATATTTTCAACAGAAAAACGCGCGACTTTCAGTAGAGATTGATTTCTGATAAGGTCAAGTCACCAAGGTTCACCTAGTCTCGTACCCAGACCTTTTACAGCCAAAGGGATGTAAGCCGACATTTCAGTTACAGTAACAAAATAGGTCCACCGGCACATAAATGGCGGAGCTAACACCGGTCTCCATCGCACGTAGCAACTAAGGGTACATCTATTCCCCCCGGATGCGCGGATGTCAGCCCATTACAGTTTCCCCCGTCGGGTTTTCTTGACGGTTCCCTAGAACTCATTTACACTCCTGGTCGAGAGAAGCTCTATAAGAGTAAGTGTTAATCTCGTACCCAGATCCTATCGTTTAACTGTAACTGAAATGTTGGGCCGCTCGACCGTGGGAGGTCTGGTTACGAGACTAAGTAAATGTTTCACACAGAGATCCGGCCAGGGCCTGAACCTTGACCTCTTGACCCAGAGTTCAGCGCGCTGACCGAGTCTCCCAGTAACTCTCGCTTAATGCAAATAATAGTTGCCACAGAAATATGTGCGGAGTTTGATTTCTGATAACGAACAAAAATCAGGTTAAAATTATGTGCTCTGGTTATTTCTTTTTTAAAACAAGGAGGGAAACGCCTCTTTAAACAACTTGTTATTCACGTGTAAATTTTAAATGTGCCATTAGCTCCTTATGAAACATTTTTATTTATACTGACCCCATCCAAAGAAGAAATAATACCAGAAGTACGATTCGTTGTCGAAAGCCCTAATGAGCAAGCGCAGAAGAAAAACCGCTTCATTGGTCATCCAAGTGACCTCTGCCACAGCAAAGTAGCGGTTTAGAATCCAGACTCCTGTGCAAACGGTCTGCATCAATTGTAAGAGAGAAAAATAATTTTGATATCTTCGTGAGAAAACAAATAAGTAAACAGTCATCACAGGATCACACCCACATTTTTTAAAAAGCCAACTAATTGAACAAGGTTCTTTAAGACGAGGAGCGATGTTAGTTTACCTTTTTTCGATTGACTTCCACTTTTTTAAGGATTACATGTTTTGTTTGTTTGTTTGTTTGTTTTTTTGTTCCTTGTTGTTATTTTTCCTTTATATATAACAAGTAATCAGTTTGAAATCGTACCATTAAAGAGGCCTTGCGTCATTTTAAAGTGATAAAAATAAATCATAAACTTTAACCAAAAATAAGATATTTTTTATCATAATACAACCTACTTGCAGAGAGTCTGTCAGAGTGAGATAAGTATAATAATCGATGAAGTAGGTAACAGTTCGGAATATGAAGGCCGTCAGTAGATTTTTATGAAGTAAGAATCGATCTTGTTGGTTTGTATCTCTGCTGAAGAAGATATATATCACAAGGAGAAGAAAGAATAAACGCTTGACTAATAAAATATCATAAGAATTACGATCAAGAATTGTTTGGGAACCAAAAACTGGATGGGTAATTGAGCGAATTTTTCTTTGCATACAGATTTTCAATGGAGTAAAGAGGTAAATAAATAAAGGATTGAATGAATGGACGAGTAAGGACGAAAGGATAAATGGAGGAATAGACGAATGAACACACAATAAATAAATGAATGAATGAATGGATGTACTATTGTAAGAACGAAGAACGGGCGGACAGACATACGAATGTGTAGATTAATGGACGAATGGAAGAATGCACGATTGGACGAGAGAGCGAATGGGCGAATGGACGAATTGATGACAATCGACGAAGGAATGAATTGATATATAAAAATATGAATTAAAAGAGCCAGTTTTAACCAAGTCAAATTGATTAAGTACCTGCAAACCATTAGAATGATCATTGATGGCAGCATGACTGATATAGAAATCCAACTGAATACCACGAACACGCGACCTTCGTTGATGTACAGCTGATATAATTCCATTGTGGAGGCTTCTGACTGGAAACACTATGTTCGAGAGACGAGGTGAAAAATGTAAAGGTTAAAGAACTTCTTTTTTCTTCGATTATTATTTGAAAACTTAAAACAAAAAATAAAACAAATTAAATTTCGCAGAAAAAGAAAATGTTCTGCAACTATGAAGTCATTGTCTTCTGAAATCTGAAATAAGACGCAACAGTTCTTTCAGCGTTGGATCACAATTATCTTTGGGTTCAAGAAACTGCATTGGGTTAATGGGTTCAATGAACAACAATTCGGTTGACAAAACCAGCGCTTTATACAAGCACACCTCATTGTATTTGGATGGTTCAATCAATCGAATTAGTGTGCGTAGACTAAAATTTGCCATTTCCGAGTTCCCTCATTTTCGAAACAAGATCAAGAGCATAACGTTTCTTATTAAAACGAGGAGTTTCGTATCAAGGGCCTCTTTCTTTTCCTTTTCCTTTTTTAGTGTTTCGGTGCTTTGATTTTCTAAATAGTCAGTGACTGTCAACGATCATTTTACATCCCAGGGATGCCAGCACTTTTACCTTCAGTTACAGTTTAGCTATTCCCATGTTAAGTAGCATTATTGACGGATTACCGTAGTGTTCAAGAGGTCACAGGAGGACTCTTTCATGTTATTGAGGACTTGGCTTGACTCCAATTTGCGACACTGGCTAATATTCATCCTTTCCCAATGACCACTGGCATTACAACGGCGATGAATGAGACCTACGCATGAGCAAAGGAGGAATAGGAAAAGAAAACAGAGAACAATAACAGCAACAACAAAAACAACTACAATAGAAACAATATTGAAAACTCGACTGTAAACGCAGGCAAGTGAAAATTTATTGCCCCCTAGACCAGAAACCGCATCATAATTATCCCCGCATGTACGTATATGTATGGAATTGAAAGCATATAAGGAGAAGAAAACATGTTGATGTAGAGTTTGAAATTATCCCGATTTGAACGAACTAGGCGCGCTTTAAATAGTCGCAGCTGGTAATTATTTCTTAACTAGTCGTGTCGGGTAATTTCTTAGCAGGGGGCGCAAAGTGTTGAGGGTAACCTCTACGATGTCTCTTTACTACGCTTCGTTTCGCTGTCAGAGAAATTGCTGATATGAGTCACTTTCATTACTTTGATCTCTTGAAAAATAAAAGTCACAGCCTACAAGCTCCATGAGAAAATCTCCCTCAAACCTGTTCGAATTATTTCAATAATCAAAATTTCATATCATCAGACGGCGGGGGCAGACATAGTGAAAGCTATAACAAGATTTTATTTTGATAGCTTACCTCCAGTTGTAAAGAACAGCGAGGGACATGGCTGAATAAATGTGGAGCCTGCAGTTATTTCTGGCCAGCAGGCACCAGAAAACGAAACATTGCACTTTGTAATATCTGAAAGATTGTATTGAATTACAATTATATTGAAAGACAAAAAAGCGACCTAACTCTTACATATCTAATTCCGAAGCAACACATGTGCATTCAGAACGTATCATTGACGGCTCTCTTAGAAAAAACATCAAGTGTAGTGATATTAAAGCCGCTACGTATGGTTTATCACTTTATTCAGATCCCGCCTCTTTCTGTGTACAGTGTTCTGCCCGATTGTACTGGCGACCGTGAGAACTCTGGGTACCACATCCCTGATCTCAACCCAGACCTCTCATCTTCTTTATATGATCGGTTGCATAAGATGAAAAAAGGGACTGTGTGCTTGGTTTTATAAGCAAAACACACAGGTTGTAGTGCAAATGTTAGGGACCATCGAGGATACCTTGTGAATGTTAGTTTGAATACTCAGAGCCACAATCATTTTGGCCAATGACACACAAAATCGGTAGCGTTCGTTATTTCAGCCGGTGCCAACTCAGGCTGGATCTCTTTCAGTGGACATAAGCTAAAAGGTTGCTGCGCGAAAATTAGAGGAGTTCCCTTGTTCTTTCGCTAGACGTATTCTTCCCGTGTATTTTTTCCTCTTTACTCTTCTCTAAGCGACGAATAGTTAACGTCTTTAGTTCGAGATAGCATTAATAGCAAAGCATCTTTCATCGTTTTATCAGATTCATTACATTTAGCCTGCGTTGCCGTGTGTTTTGTTGAAGCTTTCTGGAGCGGCACTGCCGCCTTCTCTTCTTCCCAGGGCATACAACACCACCAGCTGCGCAAGTTAAATTCGATTTAATTTGCTTCTTTCCATGACGGAGCATTAAAATAAACGAACATATTAAATGGAAAGTATGAACCTACTTATTTTATCCTCCATGTAGTTCTTTGGATTTCTGTGACATCTGGAACGCTCCAAATTATACTTCGCTTCAAAATCGTTGCTCTCGGTAGGATGAAGTAAAAACTGACAGAAAAGATGTGATAAATGTTTGATTTACTTTATCCTCCATGTTACAGTTCGTCACTACTACTCTGTGAGGCCCAATGCATATTTTTCCTTTAGGACGAATATCGTGCAAAGTCGACAGTTTATTTGTTTATTAATTTTCATTTTCCTTTCAAGTAATTCAGCTCGAGGTAACATAAAGAATCACTTTGATGCATCCACACGGTGTTCAAAAGCAACGGAGATTTCAAACGCGAAGCTCGTGAAAGAAAATCACAGATTACCGTGTAACACACATTGACAGAGGGGTTTGAGTTATTAAGAGTAAAACTGTTAAAATCAATATGAGCTGAAGGGAAAAATTATTGCAAGAAAGAACGATGTTTTAGTTATAGGGGGGTTTGAGCAAACTAAACCAACTAAATATACATAGAAATCTAGAGGAAACTAACCTGGGTTCGAATTGGCGCAGGATTCGTATTACCGAGGGCTTTAGCCATTGGGTATAAACTATGAAAAGTTATCATGAGCTTTATCATAAACATATTTTCAGTCTTACCAGTGCGAGGGAAAACAAGATGGCAGGAAAAAGTCTCCGTGGTGACTCAGCATAACCCATTCTGGCGGAGAATACTCATGTATTCACTGATCAGCCTCCAATTTCTGTAAAACAAAACTACATACATTTTTCCTCTGTCACATGGGAGTATTTCTTAGTGGCATTCTGAATGACTTAGAAGTGAAGTTATTATTTGATAAACGTACATAGGTACCCGAGGTGGGTAAGGCGTTGATTACGTAACCTCTGCGAGCAATGCAATTAACTACTACTTATCGAATGCAAAAAAAGTCTCTCGTTTCTTTTTTATGCATAGTTTTTCTCGACAACTCGATATGGTGATAAAACCCACATTCGTTGACTGTCGCGAGTGGGCAAGGCAAAGAAAGTGACATTTTACTAGTTACAGCGAGATGAAGAAATTAATCAAAGATAATAGAACTGGTTTAAAATCGGTGTTTTTCTCCATATGACATCGTCTTTTGGCCAGGAATTAAAAATTTTTCTTTACTCGAACAAACATAACATTTGGCATTTAAATGACAGATTTCTGAAATTAAGATTTAAGGAACAGTTTGTCCGTATCTTTCTCCCCACAAATTTTTAGTACTAAGCTCTTCTTTTTTCCCTCGACTTTTACGAGATTTTGATTTAGTTTCAGCTAATTTTATCCTGTCTCCGTTTTTTTCCTGCAAATATTTAAAGACGTTTTCTAGCTTTCTTTCACGGGACGGATAGAAGTGCACTTTGGCTCGACTCTTACCAATATTCTAACGCGGCATATCACATCCCTCGTACATCTCACGAAACATTGCATGTCGAATCTTTCTGTACAACGCGTTATAATGAAAACCGAATCTAAATTAACACTCATATACTACAAACGTTTGTAAATATAATCACAAATTCGTTCAAACTTATTCAAGTTTCATATTCTTAAATTTTTTTACCCGAGGCCGTTAGTCCCTTTCAAAACGTATATCCCTCTGGTCGAGTTAAAGTGATTACGTAACGAACAGTGTAAGCGTAAAAACGCATCATGATTGTCATATCTATCATTGAAAAATTAATTTAATTTTAACTGTAGCCGGAATCTTGTTCCTTCAGTTTTTACGTACCTTTGAATCTTCTTTAACTTTGTTGGATTAATAGTATTTAGTACGAGAGAGTTTCTGGTTTGCGCTCCAAAAGGCCCAAGAACTGACAAAAGGAGCGCTGTAAATCAATTAAATTGATTTAATTGAGTAGAATTGACACCTCCGTTTTGTTAGTGTTTTTTTCGCTTGTTGCTAGGCGTGTCTTGCGCAATTTTCCTTTTTTTTTGCTAAAACTGTCAAGTATCCAATCGCAACGTACAAATGAACGTAAGTTGTTGTTAGCCAGATAACACTCAACAAGAAGATCAATAGGTATAAAACAAAAAAAACAAAAAACAACGATAATTATTTTAATAGCAATGATAATTATGAAAAATGATAATAATATTAATTATGTTTATTATTATAATTATTATTATAATAATTATTATTTCAATACTGAAAATGATGAAATTGACAAAAACAATGAAAACCTTAACTCTGTTATATGAAATGTAACTAATTGTTTTGGCTGTTGAGGATAAGAAGCAATAGGCCATTTTTCAATTGTGTACTTAGTTGCTAAGCCTTTGATTTGGAGTGAAGCTGAAGTTGACCATGTTGTGATAGAGACCAGTATCTAGTTAGCATGATAACAAAGTAATTTACATTTTAAAAGCGGCAAAGTTTGTATCATAACAAGGTCAACCTTAGCCTCACTCCTGTTCAAAGGCTTGGCAACCAAACACACAGCTGTAAAATAGACTATTCGAAAAGGCACAATTCTCTGATCATGAAAATTATTCGCCTGTCTGTTACTCGGTGAAAGGCTGGTTGATCAAAGATAATTAATTATTACAAATGAAATCAATGGCTTCTGTTTTTGCGATAAATAAATCCTTGATATTGACTCAAGAACATCGCTACTGAGGTTGAAAAAACTTAACTGAAGTTATCTTTAATTCATTCATTGTATAACCTTTTATATTTACATATTCAGGCCAAAGTGCTAAATTTTAATAATTTCGAATTTTTAAACTCGGTAACATATTTTACCACAAACGCGGAACCGAGCAGAGAAGCATTAGCATTTGTTACATGTGTCTTTATTCATATATCTGATTTCGGGGTATAGATAACATAATTTTAAACTCTTTTGACTGTACGTAAGACACACATTTCTCTCACTATAGAAAGTGGCGGAGCATAAATCTGCTGGAAGTATTAATCTCCTCCTTTTAAAATATTCAATCCGATTCCATAGAGCGCCATTTGATTGAGTGCCGTGCAACAAAAAGTAAACTCAATAAGCCAATTACAAGTCTAAGTGACACCCACGCACCCGGCGCCAAGAGCGGGAAAACACGCGAAACAAAGTCCCGATTGGTTTTAATTTAGCACATCTAATTGGTTAAGAGGGTGGTGCGAATTTTTTTTAACCAATCACAAAGCGAAGGAAGGTAAAGCCAAAGTAAGTCCGTGATACTTTCGACACCCAATCAAAAGCCGCTATTAATAGTAATTCAAAGCATTTTCTATGTTTTGGTCACAGCTTACCAATTCACACAGACACTGCTGTGTAATAAAACGCAGTTACCTCAAACTCTTGAGAAAAACAACAGTCGGTCAAATTACAAGCTTTTCACCCTGTCTGCTTTGACTAACAAATTGTCTTTAAAAATGGATACCTTCAGCTCTAAATGTAGGGCACAATATGATGGAGGAAGTAAAGAAAATTAAATAACGATTTCTTAAAATTGACAAACTGTTAATAAATACTTTTTCGTTCATTATTTATGTATACAGAGTCTTCGACACATTATCTTAGTAAACGAATGAGGATTTCATATCAGAATGAAACAAATCCGTTTTGTAGCATACTTTAACACTCTTGCTTCGTGGCACTGTCACGCTGTCACACTGTCATGCTTTATAATCGAAAGAGGGTGGTTTCTTGCAAATAACATTTACACATCACTTTCGTCTTCTGTAAGTACAAAAGAAAATCACAATTAAATGTTGAAGTGTTGTTTTTACTTTCCTTTAATTAATTTATTTCTACCGGTAAATTTATGACAGCTGGAGGAGAGAATTTCTTTCATTCTTTATGTTTCTGAAGGATTCCTATACCATGTTAGGTAAATGACAAATACGCTTTTCACGCTTTTCCCAACTCAATATCCTCTAACCAAAGATCAAACATGGTGGCTCAGTAAGTGACTGCAAGCTTGTAAACGCGATCTAACTCTACATTGCAAGCTCAGAAAGGTGGAAGGGATTTCCATTAGGGTATGCCCTCGATAGTGATGTAGAGTAGTCTAATTCTCAGCCGAACTAAAACCAGTTAAAAATCAGGGTTGGATGTGGAATGAGAGTGATGAGTCGTGTCCAATAGAGAACAACACAATGACATGGCCAGGTCTCGAACCCAGACCTCTGGACGCGGTTACCTCTTTCTCTGCGTTTAGAACATACCGCGTGTTTTATTCCCTTGAAGAATACTTGAGATCCACGCTAAGCGATACTCCTCAGCTTGTTTGAATCTATCTGCGTGCGATGAATGGAACTCTAATGAACCTTAGAAAGAATTATTCAAAATTAGTAACACGTTATTCACCATTCAGGTTATTTACCAGTCCGCTTTTAATATGTCAGGCCAGGCAACTCAATTTCAAAACGCATTAACCACCAGTAGAACGAGCACTTGTTGAGCTATTCAAAACTCAGTTGACGCTTCGAACAACAAACTGGAAATTTCATCACTGTTGTCTGTAGTTAGTACTATTTTTTTTCAAACCATCTAGCAAGTCCTGCGTCGATTGTAGTGACGGACTGCCACAACTGATCAGGGTGGAGATGATACACCGTTCACGAAAAAATAAGGCGGAAGTGGCGCGCTGGGCGAGTGACGTGCGAGGGGTTGCGCGTGATTCCCGCGTTCGTCCCCTGAGTACGCACAAAAAGAGACGCTCGTCGTGGACTCTACAAAGTAAACGACTCCTCTCCGAAGAGAGGCTGATCTTACCACCCTCTGTAGATATCACTTTGTTGTGTTCAATTCGCGATCTCCTTCTTCGGGAAGCTAATTGTCGCGCCCTACTCCAAAAAGTCATTCCTTGAACAGAATCATTTAATTCTTCATTGCCTGTTGACGGTTGAGCATCTTGAGAAACACTTGCGCCTACTCTGGCTGTCAACATTTCACTCTCCAGAGCAAGCCCCATTTCTGGTAGCGCCATCGAGGCTAGAGAGTCATTATCAAACTCCTGACTTGAAGTCACCAAAAACTCATCTTCTGTTTGTTGTGGCGTTGAAACTTTTGTTGGGTCATCCTGTGTAGCATCGTCATTATCAAACTCCTGATTTGAAGTCACCAAAAACTGGTCTTCTGTTTGTTGTGGCGTTGAAACTTTAGTTGGGTCGCCCTGAGTAGCATCGTCAGGTTGGTCGGTCTGTTCAGGTTCTTCGGAATCCTTTGTTTCTGATTTCAATTCATTTTGAGATAGAAGTGCGTTGGACCCCACCACTTCCGTTGCAGCTGGTTTTGGCGGATCACGAGAGACGTTGCTACAGAGGGAAACCTTACTACCAAAAAAACCTTCATTTGAATGACCTTGATCTGTTGTGTCAGGTTTCTAAAGATAAAACAAAGATAAACACATAAACAGGAACGTTGTGTCAGATAATGTTTTAAATTTTTTTTTAGGATTCAGTTCGTGAAGTAATTTCGAATGTCTCATGTAAGGCAAACCTAATAATTAGGAGAAGAATTTAAGAATGATAATCCTTCCAGTTAGCAAAAGGATTGACACAAACTTCCAGTCCTGTTCCTACCTCTGAAGACTCGACTTTTGCCCAGGCTTTCACTGCTTGTAGCGTTGGTGGGCACCAATCCCTTGGACCTGCTGACTGTATCCTTACAGGCACGACTGGCTCCGGTTCGACCTTGGCAAGGCGAAATTTTGTGAGATCACTCGAGCGAGACAATAAAGATCTCTCTGTGCTTTGCTTACGAGGATGTTCATCTGGAAGCTGGTCACTGAAAATATTGTGAATTGTTAGTTGGCAAGGAAAATACGGTTTCACTATTTTTTTTTTTTTTTACAGGGAAACTATAGCAGAAGTTTAATACCTTGTTGGCTGTCGCAAAGATGCAATTGAAAGAGCTCTAGGAGGTAATTCCACTGAGGACTCTGTTCTTGTCGTACTTCTTGCTCTTTCCGGTTCATAAGATGGGCCAGGCTCTTCCTCATTTCCCGCGTTTGCGGAGTATGGATTCTGGGATTTAGTGGATTAAAAAGAAAAAAAGAGACCCATGAGGAACTCCAGTTTAATGTATTATTTACTCAGTGGACGAAAACAAACTCTCCTTTGTTCCATTTGTTCCGTAGGCTACGTTTTTTTAAACTTTGGGTCATTTTGGAAGAAGTTGAGGTATTCTAAAGGATTTGGTTGTGTCGCGATAAAATTCACCTGATCCACGGCTTTCAGGCTCTTTAATATTTTTATAACCAGTCAATTTAGTAGTATCCCCTTTATGCTCTGTTGGCTATGACTGACCCCATTCCATTCCCGTCTGAAAACCATGTGATCCCTCAAAATCCTCCACCCCCTTTCCCCGCAGTCAGCAGGGGGAAGACTGGTCCCTAAGATAGGCTTAACCAAAATTTCTTAGGGAAATCATACGTCCGTAATGCGTATTAAAGGCGAAGTATTACAACCTACCGTTTCTATAAGTATTCCGTATCTCCATTTCATCCAGCGTCGTTTGAGCGCTTCACGAAACTCCGCGCTCAGAAAAACACAAAATATGCAAACCATGATTCCCTAAAAAGAGAAAAAACATCAAAATGAATTCATAAGTAATGAGCACTTATTCTCTGACGAACTGTTTAATTAATTACTCAGTGCAGAAGCCTTCTTTGTCGTGCATGAATATATGTGTGTTATTCACCAAGCGCGTGGTTAATATGGCTGGGTATTGGCAAAGTTTCATGGATCGAGAGGAAGAAAAGTCGCCTTTGAATATTTGTCATTTGAGGGAAAAAACTGAATCTTACCTGATCCAAATATAAGTTCTTTTTGGTGCTAAATAGCAAAATAATATTTTTATTTAGCATTAAAGTTTAACGTACCTGGAAGGGATAAGCAATAGCCACGAAATAATCGTAAGAAGGATTGTTCCCTGGCTGATAGAAAACGAGAAGGTAGATTACTCCCAGGAGTGATACCAGAACCACCAGCGCCTTGGAACTTTTCCTATTGGTGCAAGCGGAAGATTAAAGAAACATCAATCGGGAAAACACACGTTTTTAACAAGTCTCCTTCACAGCCATTCTTTGGTATGTCACGCAGCGGTTTTATGACATTAAAAGAAAATAAAATTAAAAAAAAAGGAGCGAAGGAGACTAGTTTCGGATGTGAATAAACTAAATTTTTTTAAATTTGAATCTATGCAGCCACATGTCACATTTTTTCCTATGATACTCACTTGATAGCATTCATTGGTGATGAATGAGAGTTCTTGAGTTTTTTGGTGAGCATTCGAATTACGTAGACTGCAACTCCACAGTTGATCTGTGATAAAGAGAACAAAGCCGCGGAAATTCAAAGCATCAACTGATTTTCTGATTAGGATTAAGGAGGGATTACGACGGCCTGTAAGTTTTCAAGTATTCGTTTCCTAAAGAAGGAGGATAGCCACAGTTCTGATTTGGGATCTCAGGGACTGAGCCGAGGATCCACCCCTCCCTAGTGGGAAATGGCATATATTTGACAGCTTTTTCTTCTTACCAGCAGCATGATGGATAATGGAACATACAACACCAGCATGTGCTCTGACTGACTGTGTCTCACCCAACAACTGAAACAAAATCAGTAGAGTGGATGGGTCAGATGATTTACGAGAAAGTTGAAACATACACACCCGATCTAAGTGAAGAAAATGAAAAAATTTACGATGAATTTTCAATGAAAAAAAAAATAAAAGGCTACGAATAAGAAAAAAAAAACAACAACAACAACAAAATAAACAAACAAGCGCAGAAATGTAGCTGACCTTGAAAAAACTCTTGAAATCTTAAACTGCATGTATGGAAGGTACACACAGAACGTCAGAAAACCGGAAAAACCTGTTATATAGGAAAGACGAAACGAATATAAAACAGTGGTGAGAACATAGCATTTATTATGCTATTCTGTAAAATTTTTCAGCCGCGCGAAACAAAAAGTGAATTGCGTTGAATTGATGAAGAGATGAAAAAAGTGTGCGAAAAGTAGAAAATGAACAATTAATAATTAAAAATTAATAATTCTGCGAGTGAGTAGGTTAACAATTCGATTTACCATGTATATCTCACACGGGTTTATACCCATTTGAATCATCATTGTAATCTTTTCCGGGCATTACTTTTGGAAGGTTTCCCTACTTCTAAACTGGAAATGGATGAAAATTTCGAACTGTTACTTAGAAATAGTATTGTTGACGCCTTGATTTGACCAAACTTACCCCAACCGAAGACATAATAGTACCATAGATATGACTCGCTGTCAAAGGGATACGCGAGCATGCGCAATAGAAAAACCCCTTCATTGAGCATCCACGTTATCTCCGAAGCCGCAAAGTAGCGGTTTAATAACCAGAATGCATTACAAACGGCCTGTATGAAGGAAGGCATAAAAAACATTCTTAAAAGATTAAAAGTATAATTTGCATATCAGACTTACTCGCACTGGGAAACTTGTTCCGGATGTTGCGTAGCATATTAAATAACTTAGGAAACCCGTCCTTCCTCCTAGATGGAAGACTGGCATATCAAGATCACAGATAATTGCCCCCCCCCCCTCCTTCCCCTCAATAAATGTTGCCAGATTTCCCTGGTTAAAAATTCATATCCCCGGGGGTGTGGGGAATGAGGAGAAGCGTTGCAAGATTTGAAAGTTGATTTAAAAAATGATGAAAGTAGGAGAAAATGAAGGAGTCTTACCGTGTTCGAATCTGTCTCTCCCATTTTCCCATAGTGATAAATGAATAGAGTGATGATGCGAAGAATAAACGCCAAGATAAGATGATTATGCAAAATAAATCGATCATTTTCACGGCCCCTGTTGATGTAAAATTAGACATCGATGTCTAAGAAAAGTAGATTATTTTTTTCAAGTAAGTGACTGTGACTGTCAGTGAAGGAAAAACCTAAAATGGGGTGCACAAAACACCTCCTTTTCATATTTCTTTCTTCGTGTAAACTGTTTCATAAATTAGATGTTTAGGACCTACTTTCGAAGACAAGAAAACCATTTTCACGATTAGTAAGGTTTTCTTGCGACCATCACCTTACACGTCGACTCGATGGAATTAGAGGACATTAAAGATCCACTCACATGACGATGCAGATCAGTATGAATACTGGCAGCAGGACAAAAAATTCGATCCAAGAGAGAGCGATATACAACCGCTGCACACGCTGAGCATGAGTAAGAGAGTCATCCTATGAAAGAAACAAAAGAAGCAAAATAAATAAATCAACAAATCGAGCCATTAATTTCAAGTTCGTATGGATAGTTAAGTCAGGGTTGCACTCAATATTCGTGTGAAGTGAGAGAGGGCAACATGTTGAAGAGTTTTTTTTTTTCTTCGAGACAAATATTTTCTCTCGAAATGACGATAATATGTGACTGAAGTTCGAAAGTTCAAATGAACCATTCAAAGATTGCTTGTTCCATTGATTATTTCTTGATATGTGCGTTATATGTAAAAAGATTTTTCTTTTTTCGTTTACCTGTTTCTTCGTTGGTGTGTTAGATGCCTTCCTTCCTTTATCAGCTGCTTCCTTTGGTGTAAGTCTGTGACATTTTGTTATGTTCATCTCTTGCCAGTTACCCTCCTTATCACAACGGCGAGAAATATTATCTGAAAGAGTTAACCAACATTTTCAGATTTTTAGGATGTACTGTATCGTCCGTACGGAAGCATATCGGTTTGATGACTGAGTTGAGAAGCATCTTTTGGGGGAGTTAAAGAAACAACGCTAGAGGATGCCATATATTTCAAGTTTTAAAACGTAAGTGAATGGGGAAACGGTATATCACTTTCAAAAGCCGCTAATCAACAAGAATCAGGGTATTCGAGTGAAGGAATCGAATTCAAATAGTGATTCTTACGTTTACCTTTTGTCGAAAACAGTAGGAAAGGACAGGGTTGTACGGCTGTTTGGCCTGCAAGAATCTCCTTCCAGCAAGCAACATCATAAAGTAATTTGCACTTCACAACACCTTTTAAAAAATCGAAAGTGTCAGTTAATGGGAGCTATGGTTATTTGTTGAATAGTCCGCAGGATTTCCAATTGAAAAGATTAAGTTAAGGCCGTGGGTCATGATGCTGCGTTTTTAGAGAGGATAGTGGTATTCTCAATGTGCCTCTTCCTCTCAGAAGTATCAAAGGGGCCCAAAAAGTTGCAGGGGAACGTGAACGATTAGTTTCGGAGATGACTACAATGGAGTAGCGTCGCGTTCAGGTGAGCACAAATCGTGAATGTCTGTTTACTTCCGGTTTGGCGGGAAAGATCAATGCATCGCGCGCACAAGCCTAGCAACGAACACTAGCTCCTCTTAGCAACCGGTGTGACTAGAGCGAAGTGCGTGATACAATGGAAAGGAACAAGAACCGCAATCGCTTCCTCCCTTGTGCGCCTATTCTTAGTTTTTTTTTGTTTCTCTCAAAGATAGACATCTGGGTTCGAGGCTACGCAGGAAACACTTTTTATCCTCTGAAAACTATTGAAGAGGTGGTAAGATAAAAGAAGAATTAGCATGTTACAAGCTAACCCGATGAAGACCTTAAATTCGCATTGCTGTCGCAATTTGTAAATTATGACAAGTTGCGCTTTCCGCCGCAAGCTTACCTGGATCTTTAATGTAGTTTTGTGGGTTCTTTTCACAGAACTGTTTTAATTTGTCATTAATGGTCTTAAGATCCTGTTGCAGGGTTGATGAAATAAAAACCATCTAGAAAAACAATAAAAACACTCAAAATGACGCGAACTCAAAAAGTGAGCTAAATAAGTTAATGTTGGTTCCTCATTTCTCTACTTGTGTTTCATCTCCTTTCCTTGCCTCTCATCACACAAGCGTAGACAAACTTTCGCAAAATTTGACAGATTTTACAGTGCCCCACTCAACAAGGTCGATGACTTTGATTTTACCATCCAAAACCGAAGTTTGGTCCATTTCAACTCAGTATTAACTAACTACTTACACAAAGAAGCAAAACAGTCACTCCGGTTTTGATAGACAGAGTCATGTTATCAACAACCAATTAACACGTCTCAGCTGTGCGTCGATACCGCTGCTCTGATTCCTCTTAGTTTTCTGTAATACAAAAATGAAAACGTATCAGTGAATTGAAAATGATTGGGGCTTCAGTGATTTGTATTTCAAGGAAAATGACGTGAATTCTAACAACAATAACAACAACACTGTACAACGAAAGTATTTTTATTTCAAACGAACATGACACGAGACAGGATTGCGTGTGTTAAATGAAAAAAATAAAATGAAATGCCACTGTTTCCTAAATTTACAAGGTATTCTCTATACGGTGGTGAATTTTCTGGGCTCACGGCGTGAAGTAGAGATGCTGACTCTAGACGACAATTTCTTGAATGATTGCTTCTGGAGGAAGTTCAAATGCAGTGTGACTCAATTGTCCGGTTCAACTTTTTCCTAAGACGCAAAGTTTTCCCGCAGACAAAAAAAAAAATGACCTGTATTTTATTTAACGCAAGATATTTTGACGAACCGTTCGTCCGTCACAATATTTGACTATCCGGTGATAGTCAAAAACCAGCTAAAAGAACGAAATACTGAAGCCACAAGATAGTTAACGAAGTAATCACATGAAGATCCTACATTTGCTAATTACTTTGTCAACATGAAATTAAAATTACTTTGCTGATACAAATTTTTCTTTTATAAAGCTTAGTCTTCCGCTTTTATGGTGGATGACTCGGAACAACTGCGGATTGAAAAACAAAAAGGCTTAACATCTCAGTTATGCTTTCGATTTCCGGCTTTTTAATTAAAGCAACAGATCAACAGGAGCGTAAAATCAAATTATGACATGATCAGGCAAAACTTTAGAAAGAAAGTCGCTTGACTGTGGTAAAGAGAAAGAGGGTGTTTCCTGAAACATATTTAGTAGTCAGTGGGTAATGTATTAGCGCAGTAGCTGTTTGTAATTTATTTTTGGTCGCTATCGTGTGTTCGTCTCAACTTACAGCAGTCGATGAAATAAGAACCACACGCATGATCAGCACGTTGATTTGAAATCACTCCAATTATACCAATGCTACAAAACTGTTCCGACGATTTAATTCAAACAGATATTGTAAAACTATTGCAGTCGCTATTCACGGTTAAAGCAGTAACAATAAAGCTTTGTCTTTTGTTCTTTGAATCGCGAGTTAATAGGGATATCTTTTAGATCTCAATATTACGACCTGATGCTGCTGCACTTTTGTTGGACGATAAGGTTGAGTGATAACGCGTCAGTTCGTGAGTACGCGTCGGACTTGATGCAAGCTACTTTGATGTAGAAAGTCGCTGTCTTAAAGCCAGCAATTAAAAATCCAAAATCCCAGTAATGTTGCTCACGGATAGAGAGATTCTGCAACGTCTAAATACACAATACCGCAGCTTTTTATAGCTAAGACCACCGAAAAAAAAATTTACATGACAAGAATAAATTATTCAACGCAAAACAAATTGCGGAAAATTTGACATCACTGTTTAAGTCAAGTCAGTCATAAAATAGTTTCGCGGAGAATATTTATGACATGTTAGCAACGCAAAAGTGTCTAACTGTGTAACCTGCCTGCTTATTTCATAACGAGCGATGCTTTCTCCCTTCTCATCGATCAGTTCCTGTAGCTATATTAGCATATGTCATCCAATCTTGATTGAACGTGGTCCTCGATTTCTACATTGCGCATTTAGCGTTTAAGAGAAATAGTGCGTTGTTTGCCAAGGTGAAAACAGACAACAGACACTGTTTGATCTAAAAAAAACAAGTAGTTTTGAATTACCTCAATTACTTCACGCCGTCAAAACAGTTCACCCCTCAAAACCCATTGGCTTTCGTTACCAAAACGCCCTTGGAACTCCATACCTTTCGCTCTGCATAATTCTACCAAATCGTGTCATCAGAGTTTACTGTGTACACAATTTTCGATGCCAAATTGACTCAGTGTTCGATTGGATTCACTGACTAGAACGTGTTTACCGCATAGTCTGGAACGATTAACAAACAACATGAAGCGTAATGAACAGTGTTCTCTGAAACTTCCGGTGAACGAGCGATGTTGCATGACTTCCGCTTTTGTAGACTCTTACGCTACTGTTTTGCATCGCATTACCTGAACCGTACACATTGTTATTTCACCTATACTAGAAAAAGCAAACATGCCGACGTGCATAGCCACAGACATACTCAGAAAACCTTAAGCTAGTTGAATCTATCATTTTTTTGGCTGCTATGACCCTGAGCGCAAGCTTTGTACTCTTTTTCTGGAACTTTGTACGTGCTGTATTTAAATTTTCTCGGAGTCGACTGTTTGTTGGAACTAACAAGCGGTGGGAAAAAGTGTTTTTAAAAGATAACTTAAAAAATCAAAACGAAGCGCGCCTAAGAGCATTTAATTCTAATTACGCTCTTTTATATATTTTGAATCGAAAGACAGCGCTGGTTCTAATTGAATTTTTATTGAATAGAAATTGCCTTCTAGAGTTTTCAATTTAATGAAATACATAACAGATTTAAATATTGTTTTAGTCATTTCACCTTCCGAAAAATCTTTCTGATGACTCCTCTGAAGCAGCGCACAGAAGTAGAAGGAAAAACAAAACAGTCTTAAACAATAATAAAAAAAAAAGAAAAGAAAAAAAAAAGCAACGTCAATAACTTTCTCGGACAATTTTCCTTCTCAACACATTTGCATCCTAACTTATCGATGTGCATCTGTATTGTTTTCAAGATGTTCTTTTGTTTTATCTAATTTTAATATTTTTCTCACCGTTACTCCAGTCAGCTTTATCATTTTCGATACTATTAAAAAAAACCTATTAAAACAAGCGGGGTGTCCGAGTAGCTTGATTCAAAATTAGATGGAAAATGTTGCCAGAAAAAGAAAGAAGCACGCAACCGACTTATTAACTTTAGACATGGTGAAATGAAAAATAAGAATAATAATAAATAAAAATATCTAAAAAGGGAATCGAGTCACTTTTTCCAAAGATTTGCGACACTGTCAGTAATTTGCACCGGCAAACCGTTCACGGAATTGCGCTGATAAGCAAAATATGAAATACATTCATTCGTTGCATATCGTGTCTAAAATACGCACAACCTACTTCAGCGAAATAAGAAGAGAGAAATGAGAATAAAAAAAAGGATGAAGTTTCACGCTCGTAGAAGAAATTGCTATTTTCTCTCAATCGCAAGCAGAAATATACCGGTATTCTACACAGCTTATTTCAGTTGATAGCGACTCTTACCTGGTGTTTTTTTTCACTGTCAAGTCTCTTCGGACACTTCGATTGAACTCAAACTTGTCATCAACGAAAAGCTATTTGCAAGGCTTTACAAGACAATTAAATCAATTCTACTCAAATGAATGCAAACCCACCGAGGCTTGGCTGTGGGGGTTTTTATCGACTTCAAATAAACCACATTCTGAATGGATCAAGAAAACTATCAGCTGATTGCATGCCAGTTTCCCAAATTAAATAGCGCATGTTTTATTGGCTTACGACACCTCCAAGGTATAGGGTAGACGATTTCACTTGATTAATTGTCAACCTGCGTAATATTTAAAGTTTTTGTTTTAAATAAATTTTGATTTTTCTTGGTTTAAATTTTTCAAGGACGAACAAGGAATATGAGTAAGTGTCTCTGAAAAGTTTATTGTTCAATATAAAAATACTTTAAAAAGCACCCATATGCAATATTAACCAACTCGGCTAAAATCTGACATTGTGATTGCCATGACAAACAGTTTGTGATAAAATTCAATAAACAGACAAGAAATCTCAAACTCGATGTAATATACGAGATGTCAACAATACGAATGAAATACATACAAAGCTAAACTGCGAGATTGAAAAACTCCACAAATCGAAAACGGGCAATGGGTCTCTGTAAATTCAAATATACTTTAGTTCGATATGGACCTGACATACAGTTCTAGTAGAAAAAATTGCGTTCCGTAAAAGTATCTTAAGGCGAATTTTTTGAACTAGCGATTTAGTGTTCCTTCGATCTGTAGCTGAAGACACTAATCTGACGCTGTGTTAATTAAAATTAGACACTGGCTCATATTTACGACTTTTTATCGTTCGACTTAACAATAGAACGCTATTTTTTCCACTATACTGAATACACTCGTCCTTGAACCAGTAAAATTTCCCCATGAGAACGACTTTACACCACAATGTTCTTTAAAATGTCTCTCTGTACAATATACTTTTTTAAAAACATACTCTATACCCTACTTCTGTGCAAATTCGTAAATTACAAATTTCTCTTTTTCGCACAATCTGAATTCTCTGGTTACTCATCAAAAGCAAAAACGTCCCTTTTTTGTCTTGATTTCTGTGGTAAGGAATCTTCGGGGTCTTGGTAGTATCTGCGTGACCTCAAAGTATGTCTGGAAGGTGTTACGGCTGACACAGGAGTCGAACACTTAACTTTTCGACCTTTGAAGTGTGATTTTGCAAGGGGTGGTGACGCAAACGCATTGACGTCATAAATCCACGTGGCTCTCCGACTCTTTCGAGAAGAGCCCGCGAGTGGTGACGGGCTGGAACTTGACGAGCTGTTGATTGGACGAGATCTCGGCGAAGTTCGAATACTGGAAACGCTCTTCAACGGCTTTAAGGGTGGAAATTTCTCTCTGCGTTTTTCTTTCAAAGTATGTTGGGAAGGTGTTCTCGCTGACACAGGAGTCAAACACCGAACTTGTCGACCTTTGGAGCTTGAAGCTGCAGGAGGTGGTGACGCAAACGCATTGACGTCAGAAGTCCACGTGGCTCTCCGACTTTTTCGAAAAGGACCGGCGAGTGGTGACGGGAAGGAAATTGGTGAGCTGTTGATTGGACGAGCTCTCGGAGAAGTTCGAACTGTGGAATGGCCCTTCAATGGCTTTAAGGATGGAAATTTGTGTCTGTCCTTTTCTTTCGCTGATGATTGCATATTGCGGTCTTTCTGCTGCCTTACAATTTGAGTATTCTTGTATTCCTTAAGTGAAAGTTCCATGATCCGACGTATCTTAACCCGTTCTTCAATAGTTTCGTACATAGCGCTGTCCTGGAATCCACTTGGAACTGGTTCGGATAAAAAAAATGGCCCTTCCTGTTTGCTCAGGAACGAACCATCAACTTCTGTCATAAATGAAGTTCCTTTTTCGCTATTACTTTCTCTCACTGATCGAAGTCTCTTAGGAGCTCCAGTTTTAACAAGGGTAACTTTTTGGGAACACTGGAAAGAGCAATCTACCTCCGTCGCTACATCTGATTTCCTTCGCTTCGTTGGCCTCCCCACTTCTGGCTGAAGGTCGTCAGATTTACGCTTTCGTCTCCAGTTAATGTTGGTGGACGACGTCACGGAGTCCTCTTCTTGCTCGGAGACTTCTGCCTGAAAATTATCTGAATTTAGCCTCCGCGTCCAGCTGGAGATGTTGAACGGCGACGTTATTGCAAAGTCATCTTCGTCGTCTTCTCCGTCAGTGCTGCCAGCCACTGTACTGAAAACATCGTCATCCTGATCAAAATCGTCAGTATCTACTTCGGGTATGCTGTCCACTATGGACGTTTTTGCTGTACTTGGCCGAGAGTCTAGTAAGTTGCTATTGTGAATCTCGACTGAAGTTGTAGGCCTTATCTTTCTTAACACTCTGGCGGCTTTATTTTGTTCAATCTCCACATCTCCGTCAAAATGTCCCTTCTCGACATCCTCTTTTCTGCCTATCTCTATCTTTTCGACCATCGATTCTTCTTCCCTTCCAATATTTTTCTCAACTACCGTGTCCTCGTCACTAGTTTTAACCTCCTCGATAGTGTCATTATCCTGAGTATCTCCCAGAGTGGCCTCATCAGAACCATCATTCATACTCTCCACAATAGAGTTGATCCTATAACTCAAATCTTCTCCTTCAGATGAAAACGACCCAAGGAACTGCGGCACATCAAAGCCATAGAAGTCCTCCTCCTCCTCGTCATCTGACTCAAATAACCGAGTAACACCAGATCGTTTCTTACCATGTTTGGCAAGAAAAGCTGCAGAATGGTAATCTTTTTTGATGCGTGGGCTGCCTTCCAAGAGTTGAATTCCTGAATATTTACTCGTCGCGCAGTAGTCAGCGCTTTTCATGCGTGGGGGTGACCCACGAACGGTAGTTACGGAAACATCTCCCAAAGATGCAATTGTATCTGATGAAAAGGAAGGATCCGTTATTTTGTCGACGTCGTCAACAGCAAGCTCTTGCAAGTTTCTCCCAGCTGAAAGCATACCAGACACACCCATGCTGTATTTGTCATGAGTGGGACCACTTCGAGGGCTACCAGAGGTGGACCTTAAATCGGCCTCAGATGAGAATTCTTTCACGTGAAAGGCCTCTCCACAACAAGGCGTGTTCTCTTGGATTTTTATCTGTCCCTTATTCCCTCCTTTCGCCTTTTTCTTTGATGTCCTGGTTTGGAAACTTTGTACTGACTGAGATCTTTGTTTTGAACTTCTGGATTTTGATTTAACACTGGTAAAGTCCGTGGAAACAGTTCTCTCCCTCCGCTCACGATAACTCTCAGGGCTGTCGGGGATTTTGTGTTTTAACTTGGTCTTGTTACAAAGCTTAGAGTCACACTTATCTTGTTCTACGTGTTTTCTCAAGCTATACCTTCCACTTCCCGCTGAAGTTTCATTTGAAAAGCCTGATTTCTCCGAGCTTGCAGGAGAGGGACAGTGATCCAGTGTTGGCGTACTGGAGAGATCATTTTCGTCGTCATCCGAGAGAGCGTCCTCGGCAGGAGGTCCTTTCGATGACGTTTCTCCACTTGAACTCTGAATACTCTCGGTGTCAGAAGAATTTGAGTGTACATCTCGCAAAGGCCTTTTCCTGTTAACACACAACTTTCTACAATCAGACAACTTCACCTCTACTTGTGAGGAATCTTTCGAGTCATGAAAACAGCTCTTTGTGCTTTGGCTTACTTCGATATCTTCTGTAGTTTCGCTAACTTCATTTTTCGACGTGAGAAGTTTTCTTTGTGGCTTAGACTCTACACAGCTATGCGGGCAAACGCTCGAATCTACTTTCTTCTTCCCCAGCTTTACTTCTGCTGCTAGTCTCGGAGAATTCGATGAAGATGCTTTTCTGGTCTTCTCTTTGTCATCTAAATCACTGGGCGACTGTGTCATTGTAGCTGGAGCTGACTTAACTCGTGATCGTGTACATCTAACAACGCTGTCGTTATTAGCATTGGCTATCGTAGTTTCTTGTTGATCGCTCGACGCTTTTCCACTCTTTTTCGTCTCCCTTGTGACAATTTTATCACAGGGTTGTTTTCTTCTTCGTGTTTTCTGCTCTCCTTTTTCCTCCCCTGTTTTTGGCGATCCAGATCTTTTGGGTCGCGAAATACTACCATTCGAAGGAGCTGAAAGACAGGACATTTCCAGCCTTTCCATCTGGGTGTCTTCCGGTATAGTTTCCGGCGAAGTATCGAAATTTGGTTTTCTGTCACAGAGTCCACCACGATTCCCACTTGCAGCAGAGCTACGACACGACCCCATGGAACCTTCCATTCCAATATCTTGTCCCAAACTTTTCGAACCACTTGCCTCACACGACTTAACAGCATTCTCTTTTTCATTTTCTGTAGGCATCTCCACATGAGCAGACGCATGGCCCCCATCCTCTTGACATGATTCATGATGACTTTCCTTCGTAGCTGACCTTAGGCGTGACCTTTTCCGACTCTCCATCCTGATTTCCGACTCTTGTTGTATTTCTGTTGCAAGTGATGTCATCTTGCCTTTTTGCATGTCACTCTCTGTCGCGGGAGCTTCACGGATCATGATGGAATTTTTCAGCTTAACAACCGATGCATCCCGCGTACTTCTGGGACTCTTCATATCTACTTTATGCTCTAGGTCTTGAATTATTTCCTCATGAGATTCATCTAGCTGCTCGTTTTCATCGCAACAATCGGGCAACTCTTCTCTTCTAGCAGATCGAATGTTCTTTGATTTAGGACTTTCTCCTTGGGTGTTTTGTTTGCTCTCTCCTTGTGAACGAGAAGCATGAGTAATGAGATAGTCAACGCTATACTTTTTCTCAAGGGTTTCTATGTCAATGTTGCTTTTTAGTTGTTCATCTGCTATCTGATTTGTAGACTCGAAAGTTTCACAAAAATTTTCCTTTCCAGCTTGCCTTAGACGTGTTCTCCCGAGATTTTTATGTTGGAGCTCCAGTCTGGACTCGTCTGACGAATTAGCTTTACATTTAACCAGGTCGACTTCACCTCTATCAGAATAGGGTCTTCTAGGTCGAAGCTTCGTTCGGACAACGCTGTCTTCGTCACAACTCGCCATGTTACAACGAAAAACACTCGACTTAGGTTGTTGGTTAACTTTACTACCATCCTCGCCGGAAGATCCTTGTTCATGGGTGTGCATTTTCGCATCTGCACTCTTTTTCTCCACATTTTGGGCGGGAGATACTCTCTTTCTTCTTTTAGATTGGCTCTTCTCGAGGTCTTCACGAGATGCCGGAGAAGACGCATATTTATCGCTTTTAGAACACGTCACAGTAGGACTTAAAGACGACGACCGTACTCTGGTGTTGGTTACCCGTTCTGAAGCTGTCTTCACACTCGTTTTCACCAAGTTTACACGCCTTTCTCTAAAATACCCAACTGTACGTGCGGATGCATCCTCTCCTGGGCTGTTCGTTTTGCTTTCAGAGCGTCTGGGACTGCTGCGCAATTCTCGCCTTTCAGCCTCTTTGACCTCAAAAGAACCTTTGCCGATTCTCCGTCCTGACGTTTTCCTTGGAGTATCATAATCAGTACAATTCCTCTCGGGGGTGGAGTTGGTGGCAGATGTGCGACAAACAGGTCTCTCAGGCGAGGGGTTGATGGGTGTTTGACAGCCTTCATTTTCCTTGAAGCCTTGGTCTGGAGGAGTTTGATACACCGGAATCATTTCCTGGTTGTTTTGCTTTGATGGTGTTTTTACTTCAGCTTCAACCGCGACGGAGTTTTGAGAACCAGGAATTTCAGTCCTAAATCATGAGAACAGAGAGAAAGAAATGAATAAACTACACTGTACAGTTCAAGTAACTGACTGAAAATTTAAAAGCTATAATTATGTGCACACTTGTATTTATTTAACCTTCTGTAGTCAAAATGCGATTTTCCCAAACATTTAAAGATACAAAGCATTGAAAGATAGAAGTAGCTATGTTGAGAAGAGCTTTAGGAAATAATGCGCGGAACAAGTAGCCTTCACCAAACCTGTCTCGCTTTCACTATAAAAACAGGTCGTAGAATATGCCTATAGATTGAAGACATTTTGCAATACCTTCCTGCAATATTTTCATAAGTTTACATTTACACACTTCACCCCCAATGGAGAAAGATTCAGTGGGCGTTCACCAATATCTTCTGTTAAGCTGTTCCTTCCCAGTAAAATTATTTAAGCTAATTTTTACCTGTTTTCCTCTTTCTTTTCCCTCTCTTTCTGCTGATGTTTTAACAACATATTTTCCAAGAAGTCTTGCAAACTTGGTCCTCTTCTGATCAGTTCATCCAGGCTTTTGTAGTTAGATGAGTCCCTCGAAAATGCCTGATGACGGTCACTGTGAAGATGCTGGAGGAAAATTTATTACAAAAAAGGGTTGTTTTACGAAATTAATTTCAAAGAAACCTTTCTGTTGAAATGTGTGGGAAAAACAATGGTCAAATGGACTTCAGATCTGAATTTGAGCTAAGCTACATTTTATTATGTTGCACTATTGGGAAAGACTCTTTCCTCTCAAAGAAAAAAAAAAGTTATTTGCAGATAGTGGAGATAAATTCTTTAGTTTCAAATGGCTGGATCTTTTTCCAATTTTCCATGAAGAAGCTATTCAAAATATTAATGGCAGGAGTATATGTACTTACCATGTCCAGATCCTCGTAATGAACACAGCAGCACTCACAAAATCCTTTCTTTTTATTCCTGTCCTCTTCAACAATTTTTCTGAAGAAAAGAAGAAATTATATCATGAAATCCTTCATCATATTGTACACATGGCCATAATAAAATAGTTAGCTGCCATCAGAATAGAAGCCAGCTCTGTTCTGGGAATACATGCAGAAAATATGGTTCAATAAACGACACCACATGAGAGAACAGCTTGACACATCTCATATACATGTACATGTAGACATCCACACATGGTTCTGGAGTCAGCTATGAGCACCCCATGATTAACCTTTTACTCATTAACATCAGTATGCATTTCCTCCACACTGTTCTCTATATATTTCCTAAGGTGCTGATAAGGAGAATTTGTTCAACAATCAAGAGCTTCTTTGGTTGGTGATCATTTCCTTTACTCTCATGACCTTAATGTGTGATTCAGGGGTGATGTTGAAGGGAGAAATTAGATACCAATCACTCTCAGGGGTCAAAGGATTAAGATTGTAAGTATGGCTAATTAGAGCTTAGACACTGTATGTATAATAACACCATCAGTCAGAACTGTAAAAAAAATAATTTTGCAAACTGCAGTCATCAACACACAAAATGCGACTGAAAAAATTATATAGATTAGTGCTATTAACCTTGATAAACCAGACCATCTAATTTCAGCAACATTTCTTACAACTTAAACAAACTCAACATAGTTATGCTTCTATATGTAATGAAGTGTTGAAGCATCCTTCTTAAAATGTCTAAAGGTATCACACTGTATCAGGCACACTGAATTTTTACAATTTAATTTTTTTTATCTACCTTTTAGTCTTAGCAGGCTCCCTACAGTCATGCTCCAAGTCTCTCTTCGGGGGGTCAAAAGGACCCCTTCCCAACGCCCCATCAAAGTAAATCTTTGGCCAGTCCTTCAACTCATGAACCAGGGGCTTGTAAGCGCGACTGTGATCTTCTACTTTGATGAATGGAGAGTGCAGCTTTCGTACCTTGGGTTTGACGCCTTGCTTGGCTACTCTACCAGTAACTAAAGCTTTGGATGTTGGTTTCTTTAGAATGCTATCATATCGCTCCAATTTCTCTAACATCTTTTCTAGTGAAACGATTTGAAGACCCCAGTTCCTTGCATTAGCGATGACATTGCTTGTTCCACATGTATAGGTTATGGCTGCATGTGCTGCAAGTGCCTTGCCCCTCATATTATGTTTGGCAGAAGTCTGACCACTTTGTTCAGTACCACATGAGTCTGCACTTAATGGAGATGGAATGGCAGAACCTTTTGCTGATGAGCTACAGCAATGATAAAGGGAAAAAGCATTCATTACTTACTCACTTTTTAAATATACTTTAAAGACAGCTTAATTTAAAAATCCTGAACCATGGATTTATTCATTCATGGAAGATTCATTAATGAACTCAAATTGAAAAACTGTCATTTGTTAGAGATTTGTTTGTAATCGATAACATTAAGTAACTTGGCCTGACTGTATCAAAAATAGGCTATTTGTGGAATTTGTCCTGGCCTTTGGGTCAATCTAGAAAACTCAGATGGAGAATGTAGTAGTTTCTCCCTATCTGAATGACAACCACACACTGAAGATAAGCTTCTTTTGAGTGAAAACAAAATGAGTAAAACCCTTTAGTTAACACTTTGAGCCATAACAGTGACTAGCATCTAATTTCTCCTTACAGTTTCACCCCTGAATCACTCATTAAGGTCATGAGAACATAGGAAATGGTCACCAACTAAAGAAGCTTTTGATTATTAAACAAATTCTTGTTTTCAGCACCTTTACAAATAGCATAGAGAACAGTATGGAGAATATGCATACTGATGTTAGGGTGTTAAGGGTGAAGGATATTTAGCCTTCACTAGTAATTTGTATCATTTCTTTTTTACCTTTTTGTGTTTCCTGGAAAAGGACTTGGAATTGATAAACTAGGGCTTGGTGTTGAGTTGCTTCTTGGAGAGCAACGGTTGTCAGCATCTTTCTTGTTGGTGACAACACAGCTAATGTCTTTGCTCAAAAATTCTTCTACAGCCTTTTAAATTCATTGAAAACAATCATTAGCTTATTTAACAAAAGCATTGCTGGTATTACCTTTGTTTGCCGCCTGAAACTTAAGCCTATTCATTGAAGTTTTCTTCAAAAAGAACCATGAAAGATTGGCAAATAATGAAGGCAGGCTCAAGTTGTCTTTAAGAGAGAGGCATCTTGGCACCATCAGGGTACTAACAACCCCTTGACTCACAACTATTCATGCAATTTTCAGTAAAAATGTGATAAGGCTCACTTCTATACTGTAGTAACAAGCTGCACCCTAAAATTTTATTGTGATCTTTAGTTCAGACACACTTTCAGCAGCACCCTACATGAAGATTCATGTCCTTGATACATGTATATAAATGCTGTTACAGATAAAACCAGACGTGATTTAGTAAAATTTTGTTTATAAAGCAAAATAAGGGATTGGTTGTTTGTCTTACACATTTATAATGCTGTTGCTCTAACTGGGATTTTACAAGCTGTTGAATTAAAATCTTCTCTTACCCCTCCAAGCTCTTTTATGCGAGCTTTTAAGCTGCCTGTTTTGCGATAGTTTTCAAGATCCAAGTAGAATGTACAGTCTTTTAATGGTTCTTGGTGTTTCTCGTGTTGAAATTCAAGTCTTCTTTTACCTCTGGGACTTATTTCTAGACAGGGAAAATACCATTTCAATCATATATGAACATATTTGAACTAAAAGAAAACAAAATGCACCCATACACTCAAAATCAGCTATGACAAGTTTGGTTTTTAGGTTGGTGGACTGTGGTACTTGTCACCCAACTCCCATGAGTGATCAAGACAGAATTTCTCCTAAAAAGCCAATACAACATCAAGCAGACAAGAGATGAGAATTAAGAAAAAATCAATTAGGGGATTATCAGTTGATCCAATACCAAATTCTCCAAAGTAACATCATAATAATTGTATGGCAGACAGTATGAAGAATTTCTAATAAAATTTGGGAGTAAATGGGTTAATATTAGTCAGGAGCAACTCCTGGGAATAAACCATTTGGGCCATCACCAAGAGATGTTTTGTAAATGTCCATTTTTCAGATGACCCATTTTTTCTCACACAGAATTCATTTATACTATTTCTTGTCTGGATATGAATTCTTGGGGGTTTTGGTTGAGAATATGATTGGCAAAATAACACCTGTAACCAGCTGTTTTTACTTTTCACAAACCAAGGCTTCCTTGATAAAATCTTTCCATTCTTCCCCCTTTCCCCCATTTTTTTTAGACCGAGCAACCCATATTCAAGAGAGGGAGGGTGATGGAAAACAAAACATTCTGTGGGGAAGGCTTAAGGCATAAAAAAAGTCAAGTGCAGCTTTCTTTCTTGTCAACAATTATATTACAGTGGGGATCAAAGAAAATACCGGTAATCAATATGGAAGTGATCAACAATGCTGTCTAGAAGGAACTAAAATGAAAGCATACTTAAGAGCAACCTGTGGAGGATGTATAATTCATCAGGAAAATGAAGCACGTGAATCAAAAATACAACAGCTGGTCTGTTTTATACACTAACTTCCAGCTTCAATTAACCTATCGTCCAATACAATCAAAACACTACCTAGCGATCACATAATGTGATTTTATCGTCACGACGCCAAAGATTTTTAACCGGAATAGTTTTAAACAAGAACAGCGGTGATATCTTGACGTTTGATGATTGTCTTCTAAGTGAAAGCATGTAACCGACGCAGTCAGAGGACACCAAGACGCGATCGGACTCAAAGGATTCAAAACTTAACTAAATTTTACTCCGATCTTTGAAAATGTGGACGAACATGACAAAATTTAATGGCAATTTAAAAATTCAACGGTAAAATAAGCCAACATCCCGTAGTTTTTGTTGAAAACAATATCACAGCTGCCATGACGATTCACACAGCGGCGTGAAAACGAAAAGACGAAACAAAAACCTCCACGACAAAGACGTCTTCGAGAAGCTCCGCCAGTTAGGAGCCCGTAACAAAAACGAAAACGATGTATAAAGAATGTTAATTTGTGTTACTTACTGTACTTCTTTGAAAGTTCATTCACTGAAGGAGTTTTCGTTCTTCTTCGCGGACTTCGACGAAGACCGATTGCTGGAACTGACGCTCGACGATTAGAAGACATGATTTGGGATCTTTGTCGATTATATCGAACTCGTAATTTCGCCTGATGGAAGTTCTCTTACAGATCGACCATCGATATCGACGAAAGGGGATAATTGAGCACGAAACCACAGGAAACGGCGTAAAATCTGCCCTTAACTAAAGCAGAATTTCAGCTGTTTCACACGCGAATTTCCCGGGCTAGTAAAAGAATGCAGATTTTCATGCAAGCGCGGGAAATCCCGTCATGCTGTGCAACCTCATCCGAGCGCTACTGACGTCAAGCGCCACTCAGCCATTATTTTTCGTCTTACGGCAGAGTTTATCAAGATAAACAACGCTGCATTATTTTGTGTTAAAATGAGTATACACTATGGTGATTTTGGATATTTTGAATGGCAAGAGGGAGGTTTCTGTCCTTTAAGTTAGAGATAGTGGAGAACGGGGAAAATTAATTTGGGCGTGAGACGAACAAAATCTATGAAGGTTATAAATAGAGCTCTTAAAATTGCATATCTAAATCACATTTTGGTCTGAATATCTCAGTAAAGTTAAATGAAATGTTAATCGATGCATTTGTGGTACTTTATGGCCTTCGGCCAAAAGTAATTGCGCAGAAAGACGCTTCAGAGGGCCCGCGAAGGCGAAAAGTTTTCAGAGTTTATTCATTACCTTCATAGGTTTTGTTCGCCGCATGGCTCCAATAACTACAAACACTTAGTGCGGTTCGCCTGTGATTCAACTTCCTTTCCTTCTCCCTTCCCCCCCTTAACTTCACTCGTCATGCAAACTGGAGTTCAACAACAACAACGAATACAGCAAAATTTTTAAAAATTAGGACCTAAGTCTACATCCTCAGAATATGTCTCAAAGAATCAAAGAGCTTACACTCTATTGGTAAATGGCTGGGGAATAGTAAAATCAAAGATTATCTGCAATGCTTTGAGGCTGATGGAGATCAGATGAAAAGGTTGTCACCCGCTATTTTCCAGGCATGATAAAATAACTTATATCACCATCTGGATGTACAATACTTGCTATTAATGACTCAAAGATCACCATCTTTTGTTATAATCCATGTTTTCATTGTTTTATTTTTGAATAACTCCTGTCATTTGAACCAAAAATAAGGTTCTTCCATGGCAATAATAATAATAATTCAAATTCTCCCAGAAATATATCAACAAAATTAACATTTTCTTCAAAACTGGGAACATATCATTCATAACCAAACACAATTGGTAAAAAATTCATCAAGGGCACAGTCCTAAGCACTCTATTTTCACATAAGTTTTCAAAGGACCTATAAGTTAATTCCCAGGATAGTTCTTAAAATCATAAATTATTTACACTGTAGACTGTAATACAACAATATAATAATTCTTTTAAATATTCAAATATACAATCCCATATTTGCAAAATGAAACTTTGGAAATTGAACAGTAAGGGTAAATGGAGTCTAGTTCCCCCTGAATTTTAGAATAAACAATAACCATAACTTTACAATTTCAACTTCTGTGTATTTTCACTCTGTAGAAGTATTAAAACACTCACGTACATGCTTTCCCTGAATATCAGAGACTTTTCACTTGTAGTTTAGAGTTTCAGGTTGACTTCTGAAAAACGGTCAGGAAAACACACCCTTTTTTCATTGATACTATGTAAATTTTGCTCTTGGGATTAACACTATTTATACTTTGTCCACATCAATAGGATTTCAAGAGATTTTTGTAGACAAATAAGTTATAAATAAATTTTTTTCATAGTCTTGACAGGCAGTAGTATACTTTTGGCCCTTAGGCTTCAGCAATTAAGCATTGTTAAGGCCTAGGATGAGACAACAAAACCACAATATAGATATGAGGGAAGGGGGTTGAGCTGCCCATGCCCCACCCTCACAGAGGGGTATATTTCTCTTACTCCATAAATAGTTATTACAAATTTTACATGATGGCCTAAAACTAAGTGAAAAACATAGAAGATTACATGTGCTATCATGTTGAATACACAGGCCCTGCTGGGGTGTATGTGAAAAATGGAATGGTTATCAGTAAGCGAGATTGTCTCATGTGTACCTACACACATGGGAACACATGGATTAGAAGGTAGAATGGAATCCATTTCATCTCTCAAAATAACACAACTGGATGGACTGAAAATAGCTGATAAAAGATAAGAATAATTGACAAAGAGCTCACATCACCTCTTTGCATGGCTATGTTAGAAAAATGCAGGGCATGTATGTTCAATGACACAATTTTTGCAATGTTCCCTTATGTACATAAAAGTCTCATAACTGAGGTTGCATTCTTGCAAGTTCAGGTACTGCACACTACAACACTGAGCTGCAATAGTTCTCACCCCAGTATTGGTAATGCGGTCACATCCTCGTATACTCAATTTCTTAAGCTGAGGACAATGAATGCCAATCATGTGAAGTCCATTGTCTGTAATATCACACTTTCCTGCATCAAGAGACCGCAGTTTCAAGCAATTTTGAACAATGTGCGTCATTCCAATATCAGAAACAGCTTCACATCCTCTGATGTTCAAGTACTTTAATTTGACACAGTGCTTTCCAATATACTTCATTGCTGTATCTGTTATAGGACATTTTGCCACACTGAGGTACTTGAGACTTGGACAATTCTTGGCAACTTCCTTCAGACTAAAATCTCTCACTTTGAAGCAATCACTGACACTGAGCTCTTTGAGATTTCCGCAGTGCTGTGCAATATGCTTGATGCCAACATCTGTCACACGATTGCACCTGCGCAGATACAAGCTTTCAAGCAAACCACAACTGAGACCCACAACTCTCAAACCCAAGTCATCAAATGCCACACAATCACTTAGGTCCAAATGTCGCAACTGAAGGAATGACCCATGATGTCCCACACCAAATCCATTTGCTACTGGAGCTGATACATTATTCACACAAGTACAGCCACTCGTGTCAAGATGAGTCAGAGTTTGACAATTCAATAAAATGTCGTGAAGACCTTTACTTGTGATACAGCAACAACCAGACACATCAAGCTCCTCTAAATCTATGCAAAACCGAGCAACAAAACCCAGTCCTTTATCAGACAGTAGCTCACAACCATTTAACTTTATTGAATGTACTGTCATACAGTAACCCTGAGTGTCCATGGCTAGTCTTGCCAGTAGATTCCGCAAAACTTTGTTGATGTCGCTTCCTTGATAATTGGAGATTTGAATGTTCGACCAAAGCAGTGGATCCCAACAGAGTGTCTGCCATTTCTGACAAACACCTGATGCCATGCAAAGATCTTTTGTTGACAGATAAGATAGAATAAAAATCAAAATATCTTCTGGAAGATCATTCAAAGTCATCAACCCAAAATTTGACTTTCTTCTGGGGGAATGTGGAAATATATGGACATCTCCAAAAGCACTGTGATCACTGATAGTCGTGGAGTCACTGTCATATCTTGCTCTGGGCAGAGGCGGCTTCACTTTTTCCAATTTTGTAATCCTGTTTCGTAAATGAGCTTGCAAAGAGTCCTTCCTTTTAACTTTACGAAGGTCTTCCTCAGGTGAACTTTCATTATAACCAAGACTGGTATTAAGTTTACTACTTCTTTGTGTAGAAGGCAGTGAATCTGCATCCTCACTGGCAGCTCCAGGTAATTTTCTGGAGGAAGAAAGAAGTCCATTTGACAAACCACCTTTTAACACAAGGTTCCCATGATCTCTCACTGAAACACTAAATTTGCCTTTCTCAGAGGACATTGTGGAAATAGGTTCAGTAAAAGACTGTGATGAAGTGCTCTGGACACTATCAGTGTCTGCAGGCCAGTTGTTTGATTTGCGCCTTCCACCAGGATCCATCTGCACCTTAGCAGAAGCCACAATTCTCTGTGAAACTTCTGAAGTGTCTTTCACACCATTTTGTCCTTTGTTTTTACTCTTATTGCCTCCTTTCTTGTATTTTCTTTTCAAGGAAGCATCATCGTATGCTCCTAATTCCTCTCTTTTCTCCATGTCAACAAACATTATTCTATTCCTTGCCTTGAAATCACTGTCAGTGTCTGAACTTGTCTTTGAGTTCAAATTTTCTCTCATGTTTTGCCCCAGTTGAGCAATTTTATCAGGTGAGTCAACTGTTGAGGCTCTGTTCAACCTTATTTGAAAGTCAGGAGTTTGTTTTTGCCCTATTCTTGTTTCCTGATCTGGTTTATGAGCTGCAACAGCACCCTGCAAGTGACTGCGAACTTTCTGCTCTCCATTCATGGTAACAAAGTCTCTCATGCCATTACTGTCTATTTTTGTATCACCATTAGTAAGTCTCTGTCTGTCAGCCCTTTCTGCAGTTCTTGCTCTGCTTTCATTTTTTACATTTCCCTGAGCGCCCCCAAATTTGCTGGCAACAGAAGTGGAGCTTCCACCATGCCGTAACTTGTTATGTCCTTGTCTACCTTCACTGTTTCTAAGAAACTCAGGCACCACTAGTTCCTCACTAGGAATCATAAGCCCCTGTCCACCATTAGAGGAAAAATCTGGGTCTTTTAGATCCCTTTTGACCACTGGAGATGTCCCATTTTCATGCCAACGCTGTTGCTGGGTATCTTTCAAGAAATCTGGAACTTCGTATTCCTTCAGAGGCAAATGAATTGAACTTTCTCTAGTCCTATGGTTGCTGTTTATTCCTACAGAACCATTTGAAGTGGAACTTCGCTTTGGTGTGGGAGAAAATTCATTGGCAGGAGAACTCTTAGATGTCTTTCCTTTCCTTCTTTTGTCTTTATCTGAAACAAAACAGGAAATTAGCTGAGTACTCCCATACCAAGTGATCACACTTTGAGGAATACAAGCTCATTTGCAATAAAAGAATGAGGAACACTTTAAAGGTTCAGGACACACTAAGTGTACTCTGTGATTTAGAGTACTCACTTTAAAAACTCAAAAGATTTTGCTGTAAAAAAATTTACAACAGAAAAATGATAAGAAATCTAAGTAACATATTCTCCTGGCTTTCATACATATAGATTTAGAATTCTTGACTTCTTGGGCTTTTGATTGCTTCATCAATTTAGAACAATTTTACTTTATTAGAATAATTAATTCAGAACAGAAATCAACTTTACAATCAGCTGAGGTCTTTTATCAAGGGCTACAGTACAGGGTTGTAGATAAGAGCCAGCAGCCAGCAAAGTACACTGGCTTCTCT